ACCCATGATGTTAAGCTAGTGAAGTTAAAGTCTATAAGGAATATACCTGATTCAGAAGCAACTGTTCCGTTCTTCTTATCTTCCTTGAACTTGAGGCAATCTCTCTTCCAATGTCCCTTTTTCTTACAGTAGAAACATTCGGAATCAGATTTAGAAGACGCTACCTTCTTATCCTTGGTAGCTTTAGACTTAGGCGGAAAAGTTTTCTTCTTACCTTTCCCCTCAAAGCCTTTCTTCTTCTTGCCCAAAAATTTGAACGGCTTGCCCTTTTTAATCATGAGCATATCATGCTTCCCCTCATCCTTGAGCGTTTGCTCAGCTTTCTTCAACATACCATGAAGCTCGGTGAGGGTTTTCTCCATGTTGTGCATATTATAGTTCATCTTGAACTGATCATAGCCTTTGTGCAGCGAGTGGAGAATGATGTCAATTGCCATCTCAGTTGAATACCCCGCATCAAGCCTTCCCATGTTTTCAAACAATCCAATCATTTTGAGTACATGTGGGCTGACTGGCTCTCCTTTCTTGAGCTTTCTCTCAAGGATCTGCCTGTGGGTTTCAAACTTTTCAGTTCGGGCCTGCTCTTGGAACATATTCTGCAATTCAGAAATGATCTCAAAAAGCCGTCTCTTTTTCAAAGAAAGTCTTTTGAAGCTCAGGAGACATTGTGGTCAACATGATGCATTTGACATCTCGATTGGCACTTTGCCATCGATTTAGGGCAGCTTGAGTCACCTCCTCATTGGGAGCCTCGGGCATTTCCTCATCAAGGACATATTCTTTTTGCTCTTGCATGAGAACAATTCGCAAGTTCCTTTGCCAAGAAAATTTGGCCCACTCAGCTTCTCCTTGTCGAGAGTTGAGCGTAACGAGAATTGGTTGTTTGATTTATTTGAAGACATGATTCTATAATTGAAAGAATTTGTAATGAAAAACCATTCATTATACTTAAATAAGATTGAATTCATGCATTTTAATCAAACTTATTTAAAACGTCTTATTCACACATTAAAGATTGTCCCCATTTTAGGTGAGAATAAGTCGATTCCAAGATCCAAAGAAACAAAGAGTGGTTAAGCATGCTTTGGCTTGTCTTAACACTCAATCTCCTAAGGTAAGCAACGCTTTGCTAATGGCTCCAAGCCACTCTTGGTTGAATAAATCGTCGCATCCAATGCTCTCTAAAGAATTTATTCACTTTGCCACGACATGTTAGGACTCCATCACTCATATCGTTGAGTATAACCAAAACCACCTTGCATACCCGGTATGCCTTACGTTCCTTGGAGAAGTAGTGATGCCTCGCTTTGGCGTAGCCCACCACTACCCTCGTTCGGTTGGTAAGTGTGTTTTGGAATGGCAAGTTTTACTCAATATTTTAGGGACCTAGGGTTTCTATGTTGGTTGATTTAAGTGAACTTAATTAATCATCTCAACATTCGAAATCCTAAACATGCATCTAACATATAATTCATATATATATAAACATAAATATATATCGAAAACATAAATAGAGATGCATTTGGCAACTAGCATGACCCCTTGAGATCTTCAAGTCTTCAAAAGGTCTTCATTTGCAACTTCATGGCTTTATCTTCTAAGAAACCCGTCTTCAAGACTTGACCAAAATATTACAATTGCTAGTATCTACGATTAGGACTAATCTAAATATTAAGGTACAAAAATACTCAACGGTTCGCAGACCGTATTTAGATTTATAAAAATACATCACGGATCACAGTCCGTGTTTTCTATCCTAATCGGGCCCCACTAGTTGCCATTTCATAAAACCTGTGAGAGAATTTTACATTCCATTCATCCATTCACTATCTGTGAATGGCCCATGCATTTTACAACAATAAACAAGTAACAATGCATAAAACGCGCGAGAACTAGTAACTAATCTAGGTGGTTAATCCAATTAACACGCCTAATTAAACTAGACAAAGTTGTTTGGTTATGGAAAAAACTAAGAGACGCTCCCACTAAATTCTGCATCCAACTTAACTAATCCAATTAATTAAGTCGGTGAACCCAAATATTTGCCAAAATTAATTTTGCAAATGTCGCTCAAAACCCGAGGCCTAGCCTCCAAAATTTTTAATTAAATAAACAAAATAATTAAAATGACAATTTAAGCAAAATACGTATTCCAAAATGTCTAAGTGCCTAGCACTAAGACTTGGAGTCCAAAAATTACATTTACTTACATATTAAGCAACGCTAAAATTAACTTTAAAATAGCATCACCTTAATAACCCGGGGTTATTATGCCAATTATGGGATTGTACGTACCGTACAACAAGCACGCAGTATGCCCATGCGCACCCCCGCAACACCAAGCATGCATGTGGGCTTCTTGTGCTCGCATGCGCTACGCCTAGCCCAGCCAAGCGTAGCAGCACGCACAGCGCGCACAGCATTATGCTGCTGCTGCGCCATGCTGCTGCTTGCTGCTGGCTAGCGCGCTATGTTGCTGGCAGCGAGCAGCAGCCCACGCCCTTCCTCGCACACACAGACGCACAACACCACGCACCTAAGAACGAAGCGCCCAGCAGCCTCGGCAGCCACATATGGGTTGCGTGAGCAGCCCAGCTGGCCGAGAGCTAGCTCGGGGCTCTTAGGCCTCGTGTTGCGTGCTAATGCTTCGAAAATTATCGATTTTGTGTGTGACATTATAAATCAAATCTAAATTAATTTTAGAATCAATTTTGAGGAAAAATGAAAAATTACAAGTCCAACTTAAATAATTCATCCAAAAGCAATTAACCAAATTTATTTCCAAGAACCATTCTTTAATAAAATTGGTTTAACTTGGTGTAATGAAATAAGTTGGGGCAATTCTCACTATTAATTTAATCACTTTAAATTAATCTTGAGATTTTGACAAAATAAAAGGGAGTTGGAAAAAATGAACATAAGTTCAATAAAGACTCCAACTTTAATACTTGTGACTTCATGAAAAATTATATCTTCCAATATGAAGATAAACCAATTTCAATCACAAGTTTTAAACTTTATGATTCCAATCAACTAAAAAATGATTAAATCAACAAAGTTTAACCAAAATTCATGGAATTTAGTAACTCAAAGTTTCAATCACTTATCATAAATAAAGATTGAATCTTTAGTACTTGGAAGCAACAAAGAATAACAATTTCACACTTAATGCAATCAATTTGCAATTATGTGAAAAATAAAACCAAACTTTCAAGCACCAATTACTACCAAGTAATTATGCTTAAAGTGGTCTAAAATTGCATATAAATTAAGGAAAGAACCAAATACATAACCACCATAAATATGCAATCAATTTTCAAGGTTAGAAAGACTTAAAATTTTTCGTCAAAACAAAAAATCCCTCGAAAAATGCATTTTTGGTCGTTTTTTGGCTAAAACCCAAGCCCTAAAAGGGTAAAACCATTTCCAGAACGCCTTTTCCACCCAAAATTCACTAATTTTGGGTCGAAATCTGGGTTCGGGAGCTGAAGACAGCTCTAATATGAGGTAAAAATTGGAAAAACGAGTTACTAATCTAATTAGCAACTTAAAACCAGAAAAATTAAGCCATAAAAAACACCTTGAAAATATTATGATTTTAAAAAAACGAGCGAGACTCCGATACCGCTGTTGTGGTTTGGTGAGTCCGACTCACCGCGGAAACAAACCCAAAAACAAGACCACACTCGCAATAAATAAAACCATAAACATAATTAAATTAATCACAAGATTAAGATAAGCTAATTACCTTTGACGCGTGCTTCGCTCCAAAATGAGCTCTTACTTGAAAGCTTCAAGTCCCGCTCACACGGAGACCTTCAACGAAATCCACCCGCACCAACAAAACCGACTAGGTCCAATGTCTTGGGGTTAGCAAGATCCGACCAATAAAACCCGAGTAATTATATTGAGTTCAAAGGTTTTCACTAATTGTGATGCCTTTTTCAACTCTTACTCAAGCATCATTCCCAATGCCCATACTTAGGTATTTATAGGAAATGATGGGAGTATCATTTAATCTCCCATCAATGTGCGATAGTATGATTTTTCCATTTTATTTTAAAGCTAAAATAAAATTAATAATCAAGCTAGTAATAAATCAACAAGTGGCAAGCTCATGTGAGTGGTTAGGTGAGGACCACTTGGAGAAGGGGGGGGACCAAACTTGCTCCCCACTCCCTCTCCCATAACCGGCCACCTCACTCCACACACACTCAAGGACCACATGCCACATGGCACCCACCCTTGGGCACCAAGGCAGCCTAGGTGGGCTGCCATGTGCTGCTGTCCGTGGCAGCCACGCCGAGCAAGCCCAGCAGGCCCAGCACTCGCATGCGGGCTGCCAGACGCTGCTAACCAGCAAGCCCAACATGCTTGTGCGGGCTGCTGCTGGCCTTGTGCCTTGGCCAGCGCTGCTAGGCAGCAAGCAATGGCCTAGCCATGCTGCTGCTAGCTATGGCGAGCTGGCGCGCCTAGCGTACTAGCTGCTGCAGCTTGTTGCGGCATGGCTTGCTAGCCATTGCGCGAACAAGGCTGTGCCTAGCATGCTAGCACGCACTAGGCAGCACCTAGCCTTGCGATGCTAGCATGGGTGCACTAGTGGAAAAATAGCTATCCGTAACGGGCAAAAATAGCCTATTCGTAACAGGCAACGGGCGTTACGTATGTTGCCGTTACGGATAGGCTATGTTATTCGTAACGGACATTTTGACTGCCCGTTACGAATAACGGGTTATTCGTAACGGGCAGTTTGACCGCCTGTTACGAATACAATTGAACCCAAATTAAAAAAAAAAAAATGCAGCAGGTGATACCTGCTAGTCTGCTATCCTGATAATCTGCTATGATGCCAAATTTTAATTACTATTATCAATAATAATAATAAATGTAAAATTGAATTAATTATAAAATCAAATATACAACTTTCACAAATGTCCAAATTGACTTTACAACAATTCTCAACATGAGTCAAAAGCTACTAAATAAATAACTCTGTAATACAACATGAAAATTTAAACAAGTTTTATATTCCATATAGTAGACTAAGAACTTGAAAAATCTTGTAGAATTGTATACTGTCTTGATGAAGCTTAAATTTTGTACAGCCATCTTTTAGGAATTGGTCAATGAGGTAGCCATGGGCTCCATGGATCTCCACTCCATCAAAACCTGATAACGCAGTTTATTCACTACAAATAAATAACCTATTAAGACATAAAATTGAAGCATTCTCCTCATATAACAAACTAAATCAGCAACAACCCATATTACATTCAGAGCAAAACAATGAACACTTCTTCTACAGTCAGAAAATACAAAACACTTTGTGTGTAGGCAACCCCCACTTGCCCTACAGCAATTTCAGAAAATCAAGCGAACCCTAGAACACAACCACCAGAGTATTTCATGTAATTGCCAACATCAAAACCTGCTTATGCCAGCCAGCCAAAGTAATATCTTTCTATAATTTGGGAGATTAGATAATAATACATGGAGATTAGAAAAGTGCGTTGAGTAATTAGTTGTTTGCTTAGTGCTTATTAGCATATTAGCCAAAGAATCATAAAAACTTTATTATATACAATTTTCGCTAATTTTCTATATGATCTTTGGTTGATTGCAGGATTAAATATCATTCATCATTCATTTGCCTGCCTTAATCCCCGGATTTGACATGAAGATTGGCATTGGTTTTTGTTGTCAGGATATTCAATGGATTAAACAAATCAGCCATGATGTACTTGAGATTCTAAGCTCTATCGCGCTATATCATTACTTTCTAAATTTGATATTTATAATGCTAATAAGCAACACAACACAGGTTACTGAATTCAGAAATTCATCTGCATTTAACTAAAATCGGATACTGAAGCAAGAAATGCAGTAACTGACAACAAATCATCCGAGTGTATATAACAACGAATAATGAATCAATGTATTTCCTTTGTCCGAAATCTAAAACAATCAGTAATTGATTTGCATATCTAGACAGTTAACATCAAACCTAGACCTAAGCATCAGGTGCTTACTTAAGAATCATTTCTGAACACATAATTTAATGTTTTTTTCTTCTTCTATAAAATTTAATACATTCATTAAAAATCTATTTGGCTTTTAAGCCTACCTAGAGCATGTTGTATCCAAAAGAAAAATTCTTCAAACTGGAATAATGTTGCAGGTATTTCATTAGCTGATGAATTATTGTTATTTTTATCAGTGTATAACTTGTAGTCATGAAAATTATTAGTAAATGCCCAATTGAGGTTATTAATCCCGGAAAATAAAAGATGGCACCAAATCTAACAAGAAATGTCCAAGGATATAGACATGGTAAACATAAACTCACTCACTTAACTGAGGTTATGGGAGAAAAGGAGTATATAAAAGAACACATAATATGACCACACAAGACAAGATATGGCATAACATCGATCCATGAACAAGAGTATGGATATATACCTTTTCCTTTATCAAAGCAAAGTAGATATTCGGATCCAGCTTCAATTGCTTGGTTCCTGATCTAGTTCTTAGCCCAAAAGTTACATGACTAATGCTCTCACCATGGTCAGCAGTCACACTCTCAGTTTCTTCAAGAGAGAGCTTAGTCACCTAAAATGTAAGTAGGTGATTGTGTAAGAATCTCAAGAAACTTTCAACAATAAAATCCAGTTTATATTCACAAATTCCAAAAAAAAAGAAAGACACATATTGAGAGGTTGAAGAGCTTACAACAGGGAACACTAAATGACGCAATAAACTAGTAAAATCCATCCCAATAAAATCAACTTAAATATTATTTAATTTCTTACTCCATTATCTAAAATTAAATCTTCAAACTGACAGTTAAACAATTTTTCATATTCTATTCACATAAGACACCTTAACATATCTTATTGTTGAATTTCCTTGAAAAAATTCTGATTGTTCTTCAACTACTACATTTATTTTAATTATAAGAAAAAAAAAGTAACATCATTATTAACACCAGCAGCAGCCAGTGATGGCTTCAATCAGAATTTCTGAGAATAGATCAGAAAAAAAAAAAAAAAAAAAAAAAAAAAAAAAAAAAAAAGAACAATATAATCATTAATAGAGAGTATAACAAAGCGCTGAATCATTATTCTTTGGATTTTGAGAATAGATCAGAGCCAAGAGACCTTAACCATGCTAGCATATAATGTTCTGTAAAATAAATTAGTTTAAAATTCAATAAAACCAGGTCAGATTCAACAAAATCTTATCAAATATAAACAAAATCTGCTCACCTAATTCTAAGGTATGAATGAAGACTCTTGTCTATAATTTAATCACGGGAGAAGACCTCCTCTTTTTATTCAGTTTTTGACTGCTTATTTAATTCCACAAACTTTACAAGAGAAATTTAAATTATAAAAAAAAAGGGAAATCGAAAAGAGCAAAAATCAAGGGGAAAAGCGAGAGAACTGAGCGCATCGGAGGAGGATGGTTCTACAGTTTGTTCAGTCTTCCACTTTACTTTTCATCTTCCATTATTATCCCAACACATTATTCATCAAAATATTTCAAGAGACACCATGAAAACGCAGCAAAAAATCGAGATATAATAAAAATATGTAGCTGGCATACACCCGAAATCAAATAACAATCAATCACGGGTAAACAAATAAACCTCAAAGAATTAATTCCTTTTACACAGTTTGAATTAACAATACTAGCTAAAACCCCAGAAAAACATTCAATCCCTTCCACCCAAAAACATCAAAATTAGCTTCAACTCAGCAAATCTGGGTAAATCAAACTCCAAAAACCTCGAAAAATCACGAGTCATATCATAAGCCATAAAATTAAATAACAAAAATCATCAAAACAATACCAGTTTAAACCTTTAGCTTAGAAACAAAGATCTGTAGTATATAATTTGCGGTGCTGCAGGTATTTGAAAAAGGCATAATTTTTAGGGAAAAAAATTAAATTAAAATCTAAAAGCAGAAAAACCCTTGTTTCGAAAACATAATTTCAGGATAAATTATCAAATTAGGCTCAAAAAACACATAAATTTAGGCATGTTTGATTCAATTATCAAATTACGCTCGGAAAATCACATAATTTAAGGCATATTTGATACAATTATCAAATTCGGGTCATAATTTTGTTTTCTAACAACATAATCGCTGGTTATGATCTTTCATAATCTTACTAATTTGAACCATTCAGATATTCGAACCTTAAACAATTAAATTAAATCAAAGATAAACCCTAGATTGTGAAATTGATAAGATTAGAAAAAGAAACTTTAACTTACTTCAGAAGCTGCTTCAATGGAGAACGTCAAGTGCGCTTCAATGGAACGCTTCAATTGCTTGGACCGACGAAATTCAATTTGATTTGATTTTATTTCTTTTACAAAGAGGAAAGCTGGGTTGACTAAGCTAGATCTAGCGAGTTGGAGAATGGAGAAGCCTTAGAGCAAAATCAATAAACCCTCCGATCTAAAAATCATCAAAACCCCCAATTTCACCATTTTTTCTCTCTCCTCGTCCCATATCGCCATTTTTCTCGCCTTGTTTCATCACCAATTGAATGGGGAAGATTGATGGAGGAGAGGAGAGGAGAGGAGAGAGAGTAACTGAGTGTGAAATGAGAGAAAAGAGGTGAATGAAGGCTAGGTAAACCCTAATAAAAAGCCAAAGCCAAGTAATGGGCTCCTCTTATCATTTGGGCCACGCTCAAGCAGTTGTATCGGGCTCAATATGCCCGTTACTTGTAATATAATATCCGTAACGGGCAAATGATGACGGTTACAACTAAATAAGTATTCGTAACGCGCAATATTTTGCCCGTTACGAATAACTAAGTATTCGTAACGGACACTATTTTGCCCGTTACGAATAACTAAGTATTCGTAACGGACACTATTTTGCCCGTTACGAATATATTTAATGTAACGGGCATAGCTTTGCCCGTTACAAATAGCCTGTTACGAATGAGATTTTTTCCACTAGTTGTGCGCTAGCACGCACCAGCCAGCCTAGGCTCGGCTTGGTGCGCATGCTAGCCACCATGCTAGGCCATACGCCCTTAGCACTCGGTTTGCTTGGGCATTCCGATGCTAGGGGTATTTTGGTCTTTTGTTGATTTATTACTATTTCTCGTCTCGTCTTTCACTATTTTTCGACTCGACTTCCGACGCTCGGTTTCGACGCTCTAAGCTCGAATTTCCGACGTCTAAATAAATATTACTCGGTCGACTCATTAATTCCTTCCGAATTAATTCGTCGGTTCAGTTTATTGAATACTTGGGTGTGACCCGAAGGGTTCAGTCAAGATTAAGCTTTAATATTAATTATTCATTAATATTACTGATCGGAAGCGGCCTCCACCCAGGCATTCCGATCACTTGACCTCACTGAATATATTAGCTTTCTAATAATTCTGAACCCACTAACGGAATAGTACACTTGTTCGAAGGACACCATTCCTTTCAACATCGACATCAATATCGAGGATGAGCTAATAAAGACTGCTGGTAGTAACAATAATAAAACTTGGAAAAACAAGAAGAACGACCATCCTTCTTCTTCGTCTTCTAAGCACGAAAATACTACCAACAATATAAGCCAAGTTGATATCAATGAAGTGTTAGCTCTTGATGCTCCATTGCCCAAGAAGAAAAGAACTTACACTCCTTTAGGAATGACTTATGATGCGGCCTTTGATCGCCTTTACGGTCAAGGCTTGATCACACTATTGGGCCATTTCCAGAGCCAAAACCTAAAGAAAGGAGCGCCAAACGGAATCCCAATTCCCATTGTAAGTACCATCAAGGAAGGGGCCACACTACGGAGTAATGTTGGAATTTGAAGGACGTCGTTCAAGACTTGGTGGATGCAAACTAACTTCCTGTCCCTCCAGGCGGCAAAAAGTAATGAACACAAGTCGCACAACAGATCCTTCGTGCAAGATTTCTTGATTTCTTTCTTTATCATTCATCTCCATTCCCTTATTCATGTCTAGCATAGGTTTTCCATTTTGAATTTTTATATGTTTCATGTGTTTCGTTCACCTTTTCCATTAATAAAATGAGCAAATTTCCTTTACATCTCGATTATAGAATTTTTCATTCATTCATTCATTCTCAAAAAATAAAAAAAATATATAAAAAAATAAAAAAAAAAAATCAATTGCCAAACTAAACCCAAGGTACATCAATGACTTGAGGCACCTTTGCAACCCTGTCATTCCCTGTTAACCATTCAATCACATTCCATTTCTTCATCAACCATTTTGAGCCTCGTCTAACGTTTGGCCTTCATTTCTGCAACCCATATTTACTTAACCCTGGGATTGGAAGATGTGTAATTATATAACATTCAAAAAGCAAGTAAAAAAAATTTTGAGCCTCGTCTAACGTTTGGCCTTCATTTCTTTAACCCATATTTACATACACTTGTGCAAAGTTCGGTTAGAGCTACGTTCGGCTAGTCTTGGGGGCTTGAACCCACATCATTTAGCCTATCTAGATTAAAGAGTCATCATCTTTGACTCTTCTCACATATATTTCCATCACCATAGCCATTGCAGCCTCACTTAGTATCACATTCACACACTCACTCACACATCCATATCCATATCAATCATCCTTCCCTTTAAGAGCCCTTATCATGAAATCTTGTTTCAACACTGTGCATGCTTCATCATTTTCAAGACAACATTCATTAGAAGAAACGCTGTATACTTGCTTAGCTTCCTGACCTGAGCAACATTCATTGTTTCACGCATCGCATAATGTGTTGAGAAACATTTATATATCAATGATTTTTAATCATACAAAGAATATCGTGCTTAGCTCCTTAACCTAAGCAACGTTCATTATGCAATAATCACTTCATCTATATACGTGCTTATTAGCTTCTAGACCTAAGTGACGTTCAAGATCGTTTCTCTACACCATATATGATGCTTAGCTCCACGACCTAAATTCATTCATCGTGTCACATGATGTAATTGTTCTTAGCCTCCTGGCCTAAGGACATGCATCATGCATACATTACTTTCAAGAAAAGCAATTCAATCCATGCGATTCATTTTGTCTTGCTCAACGAGGAAGTTCAAAACTTCTTACCTTTTTTCGCGTTTTTTCTTTTGGGGAAGTTTAAAAAAAACTTTTCAAAATTTTCTCATCGAGGAAAGTTCAAAAATAAAATTTCATTTTTCACGTCTTTCTTTTTCGGGAGAAAGTCGGTACCCTCCACTCGTCTCATGACAAAAATGATGGAAAATTTTTGCTTTTGCATTTTCGGTTGCTTGTGTTTGCACACATACACACTCAAACTATACACACACAATCATAATTCATACTCATGTGATGTCATGTCGTGTCAAGTCAAACTTGGTCAAGATAGTTGGTCAAGTCAATCATAGTCTATACGAGTCTCTTGGCAAATTTTATTGCAGGTCTCAATTACAGCCCACATCCGGGGACAAGCGGACCATATACAACCAGCCCACGTCCGGGGACAAGCGGACCATATACAACCAGCCCACGTCCGGGGACAAGCGGACCATCTACAGCCCATGTCCGGGGACAAGCGGACCATCTACAACCCACGTCCGGGGACAAGCGGACCATCTACAGCCCACGTCCGGGGACAAGCGGACCATCTACAGCCCACGTCCGGGGACAAGCGGACCATTTACAACCCACATCCGGGGACAAGCGGACCATCTACATCCCACGTTCGGGGACAAGAGAACCAACTACAGCCCACGTTCGGGGACAATCGAACCACCTTCATTTCACGGCGCAAGGTTCTCGATACACAGAGACTTGCAATCTCATCATCTGTCAACTTTCCTCAAGCATGGAAAGTAATGTCCGGTGGATTTCTTCAAGCATAGAAAACCGCCAAATTCATATGTCGGCTTTCCTCAAGCATGGAAAGTATCATCTGGTAAATTTCTTCAGGCTTAGAAAGCTACCAAATTCATCAGTCGGCTTTCCTCAGGCATGGAAAGCGTTTCAACAAACGTCATCCGGTGGATTCCTTCAAACATAGGAAGCTGCCAAACTCATTTGTCACTGATAAAGTGGTGCCATATACGTATTCTATCCTTTTACTCTTTTATCTGTGGAATTAACATTTTTCTGCGGGTATCGGCGTATACAAAGTGATTTAGGATCGCAGAACGTCTTAAATCATTCTCTATCCCTATCGACTACTTTGACTATCGTTTTCGAAACTGACGTTTCTACAAACTCAGTTAAAGTGGGGGCTTCTGTAGACACCTAAAAATGTCTCCCCAAAACCAAACCAGATGATGAACAACCTTTCACCGCCACTATTGGTCGGGTTCAGTATTTAATCCCAAGAGTGCTTAAAAATCGTTTTTAATTAAATTCAATTTTTGAATAGTCCATGAATCAGTCTTGATGTTTGGTCAAAGCATAGATTTTTTAATTTCAGCCCAAACTTTTTTATTTTATTGTTTTATTATTTATTTTGGCCCAAACCTTTAATTTATTTTATTTACTTATTTTCTTATTTTAGCCCAAATAATAATAAATCAGAAAATGGCACGAAATTATCAATCGGCACTTAAAATGCTGAACGAAATTAGGGTTAAAAATGAATTTAGACGGAAAAGCGGACTGAAAAATTCCCGCATCACGGCAACAGTCCACCGTGTCATGGGAAACTTTCCCGTATGACGGTGGGTCTCCCCGTGACACGGGAAACCTGCTGTGACACGGGAATTTCAGTGTCCTTTCCGCGTAACCCTTAACGCATTTTCTCCCCGTTCACTAAATATTTCCTGCGTCACACAAAATGTGCATCGTGTCACGGGAATTTTTCCCGTCTGACGGTGGGATTTCCCGTGTCACGATACACTTTGCCGTGTCGCGGGATACTTTTTTATGGTTTTTATCATTTTAGGGTTCCGTGTGTTCCCTTAGCACATTTTTTCTATAAATACCCATTCATTTCTGATGTACGGGGCATCAATTAATTCTTTGATTTTTCTCTCTTCTATGCTCTAGTCTAAACGCTAGTCTATCCTTCTTCTTTCAAAATTCCTTCTTCAAGCACTCCAAGGAGTTCGTACTTTACTCGTGGTTCTGTCCTTAAGCCAAGGCGTGAAAGGTAGAACTGTTTGAAGGTTTGGCCCCAAATCAACTCTACTTTATTTAATTTAATTCAATTATTGTTCGATTATTATTTCCTTGAAGTTACTAACTCGTTTATTATTTTGTAGTTGCAAGCAAACAGAATCAAAGTAAGAATTATGTTCCTTTTATTTCTATTATTTTTCTAACGATTTTATATTGTTGGAATTATTGTTAAATTGATTCCAATATTAATGTGTTTTCTATTTTATTATTATGATCACCATATTGCATATTTAAAGGAAATATGTAATTGGAAATCACGCCTAATAAGATAATTTGGACAACCGGTTTAGGTTCCTTTTTAATCTTATTGTTTAATTAAAGTGATCACAAATTTTATAGAATTATGTGTTGCATTAATATTCAACCAATTTAGCTAAATAATAGTTGGGAGCAAATTGAATATTTTATTTGTATGCCTTTGAGATCGCAGGAATCACTTTTCACTATAAGAATCGAGTAGAGGCCAATACGGGCGAATGTGACTCCAT